CGACGGTCTGGAAAGCATCGGCTTGGGAACAACAGAGTCTGCAAGCATGCGCACTCGAAATGCACTCATGTAACCCCCCCCGCGCCACGAAATCTGCACTTTCTACCCTGAATCCGCACCTGCAACGAAATCAGATTTTAAGGCCCCACCTCCGTCAATGTCTCGGATAAAGGCACATTGAAGATCTCGAGGGTCTGAAAAGCATCGTCTTGGGAACAACAGATTCTGCAAGCATGCGCACTCGAAATGCACTCATGTCCATCTTTCGAGGGACTGGCAATGGCTCGGATAGAGGCACATTGAAGATCTCGAGGGTCTGAAAAGCATGGTCTGGGGAACCTTGCGCACTCGAAATGCAATCATGTCCATCTGGTCTGTTTCTCTTGTGTCCAACTCGAGCCCTCCCCCGCCCCCCCCCCAGAAACAAACTAACTCTGCAACGAAACGTTTGTTTTGGGAGTGAAAAACAAAAGTTTCATGAGCCTCCGTAATAGAAATAGTAATAGGAGGTGAAGGGAAATGTTTGTTTCGGGAGTAAAAAACAAAGGTTTTCAGAACAAAAAGTTTGTTTCGGTAGTCCAAAAACAAAGGTTTCGGGAGCGTTTGTTTCGAGATCCAAAAACTCTAGTTTCGAATGTTTGTTTTTCAGGAAGAAAACTAAAGTTTCACCTGGCAAGCAGAAAACAATGGTTTTCGTGCGTAGAAACTTTAGTTTCCACTAGTTTGAAAAACTCAAGTTTTCTCACCTGGAAACAAACTTTAGTTTCCACTGTTTTCAGAAACTTTTGTTTCTAACTCGGAAACAAACTTACTTTTCATGAGTTTGTCCACTGACGGTTTATTCGAAAAAAACAAAGGTTCTCCGAAGCTCGGGGTTTGTTTTTTTCGAGTTTAGAACCATGCTGGCAAAGTTTAGTTCAGAGTTTGAGGGTTGAAACAAAGGTTTCGTCCAATCCTTCGTTTCAAGAGAAACTCTAGATAATAACATTTGTTTGTCGCCATAAAAACTTTAGTTTTCTGTCTGCTGTCTGTCTTTTGAATTATTCGGCTTTACCTTGGCTTCGAAAATGATTGTTTTTGCAGCTGGAAACTAACTTTTTACTCCTGCGGAAAAAGTTTGTTTCTCGGCTTGAAACAAACCTGTGGAAGGAGAAACTTGAGTTTCTTCCCTATAAACTAACTAGTGCTTCAGTCCCTTCTGATCTGCATGAGTTGCTTGCTGAGCTATCTTATCCGTATTACACTCCCAGCCTGTGTGCAGGCTTTTATGTATGTATGTATGTATGTATGTAGGTACGTACGTAGGCACGTACGTAGGCATGCGTGCATATGTATATATATATATTATATATATGTATTGATAGTGACATATGATGACAAATACACAAGTGGCCTTTCCTGCTGCTCATTAAATGGAACTTCTTCTTGGTGATACAGTGGTACCAGGCTCCGAGCAGCTTTACTGTGGATGCAGGCTGATGATCACGCAGCAGTGTTCCAAAAGCAACACTTTTTCTGTTGCATTGTGTGTATGACTTGCATGAAACTCTTCTATGTATATGTATGGGCACAAACTAACTAAGCTGGCAGCTTCTGGTGCCTTACTTGTCTTTGATGCACTTTGAGCAATGACATCCACGATGTCTTCGGACTCGACGATTACTTTGCCATCGGGGTCGACCAAGACTGGAACCAAGCCCTTTGGATTCAAGTCATAGACGAGGGATGAGCTCAGTCCAACCTGTTTCAGTCGGAAGCTCAACCCGGACTCCTCCAAGGCAAACCACGCTCGCTGCGCAAAGGGGCACATTTCATGCATAACCAAAACATAATCTTTCGCTCCAGCGCCGCTCCGGGCTTTGGCCACAGGACCCGAAAAGGACATTGACCAATAATCTTGGAGCAATGGTAGCAACACCAAAGCCAAGCAATAGATGAATCGCCCAGAAAAGCGACCCATGCAATGCAACCAGTTTCCCAAAGCCAGCAACTTTGAGCCGAAATGTCTCATGAAGTGTCGACAAAATCATAAAGTGCCAGCCACAATCATCTGCATTTGCCAAGCATATTTGCTCATGTTTCCTACAAGGCGTGCACTGTCCTTCAGTGTTTCTTCAAACAGTAGTTACCAGTTTGTTTATTCAACGTGTCCTGACAAGGCAACGGCAGGTCACCGGCCTAAACTCACACTGACATGACTGTTCAAGGCCGACCTCGAAGAAGTAGGACGTCGACTGTAGCGCAATACTTAACCAACAAAGTGCAAGTGAGCCATACCCGCTGGTAAAGCCTGCGTCCTTCGGAAGGCAGCAACCATGAATGATTCAAGCTTCAGTGCTAACACGTGTCTGAGCCATTATGAGCTTTTTTAAAATTAACATTGTTCTGGCCAACCACTCGAGCCAATCGCCTATAATATGCCGTCATAAAGATGTATTGCGCATTCATTATCGTACCGTGTTGGACTGTATTGATGGAGGTTACAAGGCAAACAAAGTACCAATAAACCAACACGTTCATGAAATTGCAATGCATACAGTACACAGTATATTTATATAACTATTTCTCATGTTTATCTACATGCCCTGCATCTCAAACAGTCCGGAATTCTCGCCAGCTGGGCATAGGCCCTATAAAGCACGTGCACAAGGACGCTGATGCCCAGCCTACGACAAATGCAAAAACAATTTGGTGGCGAAAAAGCTCGCCTCAAGGACACGTCTGGAAAACAGCCAAGAAACGTTTTGTGGATGTTGAAGCCATCCTCTTTGGTGAACAGCCGACCCAGCAAAGATGTCCCAGCACCACTTCGCAAAGAGGAATTGCCATCAACCAGCACTCCAATGGCCTTCTCTTGAACCATCTGTCCTTTGCAATACTTCAAGGCACGGCAAGCTGCCTTTGAAACGAAGGAATCCACGTCCAAAACCTGTCTAAATGTGACCAATGAAGACCCATCCAAGGCTTTGAACCAAAGATACTTTTGGTGTAGGCTCACACTACATAGCCCTAAGTGTTGCATCATGAAGTAATGCCATCGCCATTGCCTAAAAAGTGCCATTGCCATACGTGTTTTTTCCACCTGTACCACAAAGGATGACATGGTCGTTGATCAGAAATGGCTTCATGAATGACCTGCTGCAAGGCAGGACTCAGATTGAATTCCCATTTGCTGCACTGGACTAATTGTTGTGCAAAGGACTAGTGACATGACTAATTATTTGATATATAATGTATATATACATAAAATAGGTTGTCATTCGCTGGACAGGCCCAGCAAACCGTGCCAAAGCCAAGGCTTGCATACCGGAAATAGCTGCTGAGAATATTCCTCAAACATAAACTCCCTTGCAACATCCTGACAGGTTTTGTATGTAGCTCATGTGCTCAGGTCAAGTGGCGAGCGAAGTCGGAGTGGCCAACCTCTTCAAAGGCTTCTGCGGCTTCCTGCCCGCCATACTGCAAGAGGACCTGTAGCTGCAGTGCTTCTCAGAAATCTTCAAAACTTTGGGACACCATAGGACATACATTTTCCGCTATTTGGTCCCATGTTGTCATCTTCCATCTTTAACAAAACCGAGCTACTTACTCTCGTGCCGCCTCAAATAGGACTTGCAATCTGAGCAATACATGTGTGCCGAACGACCCAAGCTGATCACATACCATTTTTCTCAATAAGCTAACTGAATCACCTCCTTCAGTGAGTCAACTTGCTGCGTTGCACCGTGGGTCCCTACATCAAGAAGACTGGGAGTCTGCCATGGTTTTCGATGGAAGCCAAACATGAGACGACCGACATGAGACGAGTGCCTCGTTTCCGCCCGGGTGAAGCATCAGGAAGTCTGTGACGTCACAGACCTCAGATCTGGTGGGAAGGAACTGCAGCTACTAGGTGGAGGCCATCGCTACTAGTAGCAATGAAGCTTTTTAGTATGTTTTTGAAGCTTAGTAATAAAGCTTTCTAGAGCTACCAGGTGGAGGCCATGTGGGAAGCGGTGGGAAGGGAAGGAACAACGGGCGTCAGTTTTCTTGCTCACATCAACTGGAATCCGCCGACCCCACACCGTGGGGTGAGGCGTGACTGTCGATGTTAGCCTTAGCCTTAAGCCTTAGCCTTAGGCCTTATCCTTAGCCTTAGACCTAGTCCTTAGCCTTAGACCTAGACCTAGACCTTACCTCCCCTACCCCTCCGGACCCTTGTTGCAGTGACGAAATCCCGCCCTAAAAGCGACCTGATGGTCACCTGGATTGTCCAAGATTCTGCCATCCCAATTGATTTACATCTTGGGGCACCCTCTCGACCCGCGCGGGAAAATAAGCACGGTCCAAAATGGTCCTGGGCTCGAATCCCGGGCTGGTCGCGGCATGGTCCCGGCCAATGCCCTTGCTTTTTCGTAGATTTTGTCACGTTTTCTGTTGGTTTATGAGATTTTCAAAGGCTTTTCTGGCATTTTCCTAGGAATGCTCTAGGCTTTGTCTTTTTGGGTACCTGCTTTGGTGGTGCTGGGTTGGGTCTAAATTGGTAAACCTGGGAGGTACCCAAAAAGTCGACTTTTTGGGTACCTGCTTTGGTGGTGAAGGGTTGGGTCTAAATTCTTGGGCAATGATCGGGGTTCATGCAAGAGCTGACGTCCGATGGTAAATCTGGGAGGTACCCAAAAAGTCGACTTTTTGGGTACCTGCTTTGGTGGTGCTGGGTTGGGTCTGCACTCTTAGGGCTAAGGCTAAGGCTTAAGGCTAACATAGAGCAAGGCTAGCGCTAAGGTTCTATCCCTTGGGGGTCGGCGGCTGCAGGCGGTAGCCTGGTAAATAAGCGGTCTGAGTCGAGCATGGTCAAGCCACATCAAGCTGGTGACACTTCAGACTTCAGATGAGATGCAACACCACCAATGGAAACCCACAATGAAGAAGTCGTGCAGTGTTCCTCCAGCTCCTTCTGGGTGATCTTCATGCTGGTTTGAGGTCTAGTCCTTGGAAGTGAAAACTGGAGTGAGCTGGAAAAGCACATCGCATATGTTACAATATATCACATACCTCTTCATACATCGCTTGTAGTACATCCAATCCTTGGGTGTCTGTCCCTGGTCTCCGAGTCTATTTTCGGAAGCTTCCTGAATTGAACATCTGATATGCCAAGGGAAGTGTGAGCACTGACTGACTAGGACTACAATTGATGACAATAGTGTTCCTGATGGCAGCGTCTATTATACGTAGAGTGCAAATGATGATGCCCTGCAAATACATCCTATCAGAGCATGTCGAGTAACTGTCACAATGTCAAATCCCCTGTGAAACTTCTACAGTTCCCGCATGGACACCCAATCGCCGAGTGAAACGCTGCATGCTCTAGACAAAGTCAGCGTCCGGTTCGGGAACTAAAAGGTTGGGTTCGGAAACTAGGCTTCGGAAACTCGGAACGTCGGTGTCGGAAACTCCAAACGTGGAGTCGCAAACTAGAAACATAAGATTCGGAAACTGTGCTTCGAAAACTAGATGCATGACATGCTCAGAAACTCAAAAAGTGGATTTCGGTAACTGGTGGATTTTGGAAACTGGGATTCGGAAACTAGACAGGTGCAGTTCGGAAACTGATTGCTAGTGGGTCCGAAGACAAAAAAGAAACCGGCTCTCTGGCTGCTAAGAGAGGTTTGCTCACATAAACATTAGGCCAATATCCCCCGACCCACGCACCCTCCCCATGTACCTGAAGCAATCAGTGGGCACGAAGAGAAAAAGAAACCGGGTCTCTGAATTGGTGCAAAGCAGTCTGGTCTGAACCAATAGTTTCTGAAACCGACAAAACTAGTTTCTGAAACCACAGAAAATAGTTTCTGAAACCGACAAACAAAATGTCTGAACCCGAAAAAAGGAGCTGCGGAATCCGACCAAACCAGTTTCTGAACACGACAAAATCAGTTTCTGAACCATAGCTTCTGAACTGTAGTTTCTGAACCCTAGTTTCTGAACCCGGGCCAGTTTCTGAACTTGACTTTGTTCCTCTAGACAAGCAACTCAAAAGGCTGTGAAGCTTTGGAACGCCGCTCAATCTGCACCTAGAGGAAGCTTCAGTGCAAGGCAAATGAATGTCGTCTTGCTTGACATTTACTGCGCAAGTCTGCAGTGTGAATCCTTTTAGGACACAAATTATTGACCTTGCTTGCCACGCTTTATATTTGTTCATATTTGTTGTTTATTCTGCAACCTTGTATTGAAAAGCCTCGGATCCTGTCTGCAAGGGTCAGTTCTCCTTTGTCAATCAAGTGAGCCGCTGTCTGCAGCTGTCTGCAAACAAAGCTGTAGAACGCTAAGGTACGGGCCACCAGCAATGGCAAAATCGTGAGGGCGATGAATCCCATGATCAGGACCTTCTGCCTGGACTCATACCACTCCCTTAACACCAAAGCTGCTCATACCAATGATTAAAGTTTGGCAATTGTTTACAAGTTTCAACTCCAACTACTCTTCTCAACATCTGCCAAGTGGATGTTTTTGTATTATCCTATGTCTTGCATCCGGCAATCTCATCACCGGCTTCACAGGTCCTGCCTATAACTCTCTTCTGCCCGCATTTTTGGACTTGCAGCCAGGGTTTGTGCCCTGGGACAATTCTGAGCTCTATGTGTGAGTGAATGCTGTTGTCTGGAGCTCCATGGTGTGGAAAAACGGTGCTTGGAGTCTTGGAGTGCTTGACTAGTTCTTCTCAGGCTGACAGGGTGACAGGTCCACTATTAGTGTCCAAACATGCTAATCTTGATTCCAACTACAGCTGCCATGATAGTAAATATCAGCTCCAGATTCTTGTGGGGACATGTCAAACAAGAAGGTTCGCTACCATGTAAAAAAATACAAATTACTAATACTTATTGTATCTCATATAAAATATACAGTCTATACACACTATTACACATTATAAACATACATGCGCCTACATGCGCACCATTGCGCACCTATACCTGATGTCTTTGAAAGCATGAAGAACGGGCACAAAGTGCATGGTCCCTTGCTTCATTGATTTCTCTGCAGTATACAACTGATGTGGATCCATGTTAACCGTTACGGGCTATTCTTGATTATTCACGTCCAAAGAAGACTATGTCTTATGTGCATCATGATTCACAACTCCAGTGCCAGAAGTTGGTCAGAGAAGTTGGTCTGAGACCCGCACCACACATCTCGAAGCCAGGCGTCGATGGTCATCTTAGCCCAACATTTGACATCAACATGGTGGCAGCAATCAATCGGACTGCTCAGCTTTACATTCTCATCTGAGCCTGCCATGTTGGACACATGAAGGGTAGAAAAAGAACACAACAGGATTTGCTCCGCATGGCGACATGGTGTTCCACAGCAATTTAACAGCGTCACAAGAGGCCAAGGCTGTATGCGAGAGCCAACGGGCAAGTTTCCATGTTGAAAATCATCTTGAGAGAAATAATCCGATTTGATGATGCTTTGGGGGGCTGGGACTCCGGGCGTTCTCTGGCTGAGGATAGGTTTTAGCCACAACCAGCGCATCCAAAGGCACCTAGTGTCTGGGGTCGCATGGATAAACAATGCACACACATTGAGGTAGCTGGGAAGCTTCAGTGTTAATGCCTCTGCGTAAGTTACCTGGAGATTACCGATCATGGGCTGAAGGTAAGATGCCTCTGTTGATCAAGCAAGCCTTCAGAAAAAATATGATTCACACGTCCCGTGAAGTACATGGGGCCCTGTCAAATACAGGAATCTTAAATGTCTACTGTATGTTTGTTGGCAAATCATATCAATGCAGCAGCAACACCAACAGGATGATTCGCACTCCTTCACCCAGAAGGCACTGTCTTTGTGCAATTTTGTACCTGCCACTACCTGCCTATATATATAATGCTTTTTGCTGTGATCCCACTACCGTCACCATCATTACCCGTGGGACTGAACACGCCAAGTGTTGACAGTATTTACTTTGCAAGACCGATCACGCCTGGCTGAACGCACCCACTTGATAGAATCCTGAAAGTCCTGGCTCTGGAGGATCAAAAGCAACAGTCTTTTTGCTATGCTGGTTGGTCAATGAGGTTTATACTTGTTCTGGGAGATCAGTTAACAAACTTGTTGATAGTGGACAGGCAATTCTTTGTGCGTAGCTGTAGTTCCCTATTCTGGAGCACAGGCACAGCTACTCTAGAGAGCTGGCCAACATGTTTTGCAATGCATGTGGCAGCGGCCTTTCAGTGGTTGCCAGTGGAGAGCATCATGAAAGACCTTCCGAGCCATGTGGCCCAGGTGTAATGGGTGGAAGTGCCGGAAGTCGAATGTTTGGCCTCAAAAGTCACGAGATCTGCGGGTGTTCACAAAAGACGCGGGGCATGCAAAACGTACTGAAGAAAGCCTCACGTAATTTCATGCGATCACTCATCCCGTTTTACTTTAGTCGTCATATCACGTTGTGCGAAAGCTTCCGGTATCGTGCGATGAAACTTCTGCTCAAATATATACCGACCAAGTCACGGTCAGGTTCCATCACCATCTGCATATGGCTCTGGGGTTCACCACTCAGACCTGAAGAGAGCCCCGGCGGAAAGGAGTTGCCGCTGCTCACACCCAAACAGCTCAGAAAGCTCGAAGTCCACAGCTTCTTTGTGGAATCAAAGTCAACGAAGTAGTTATATACTAGTTCTTCATGCCAGTTAAGATCCAAATGCATTACATATTGGCATCAGCAGGCAAACATGAGACACAGTGTGAGGAATCTTTACAAGACATCTCCACAAAAACAAACAAACCAGCCATTGTCAGCTCCAGAAGCTTTTGCTTCCTGGGCCCCCAAGCCGATCGTGATGACTTTCTCCCGATCGCTCTTAGGGCTGATGGTCTGCAATCCAACTTGCAACGCATGAAGCCCACAGGCGCCTGTGCAAGCCAACATCATACAGCGAGGCACAGCATCGTACAGGGCAGCCCAGTCGGAAATTATGTATATATATATATATATTGTTTTTGTTATTTTAGTTTAACTTAAACACATATATTAAGTATAATGGGAAGGTAAAGGCTCCTACACAGGGGCCCTTACCTTCCGTTTTTCGCAAGTATTTTTCTATATTTTTCTTTAGACAGCAGTGATTTCAAATGTCTCATAACACAGCTTGTAGGCTGCAAGAAACTTGTAACATCCATCTGTGCCTGTCTCACTTCCAAAGCAAGCATCGTCTGCAGTGAGGCCAGCATGAGAAGCCTCTGTGCCTGAACTTAAACATGAATGCATGCAAAAGAAGCCTCTCGCAAATTCTCGGGTACACACATTGCAGAGTGGTCACCGTGCCGCCTCTTTCAGATTCACTTACACCGTACACTGGTGAAAATTGCCAAATACGTCTACAAAATGTTGGGACAAGTGTTCAAGTCACCTCGCATGACAAGCAACCTGACCAGATGTTTGCAAAGATGTTGAGTTCTTCACATGATGATCTGAAATTGAGTTCTTCTGAAGGCACGCTTTACAATGCAGGCAAAGTAATGTTTCTGTCTCATGCTTGTCTCCATGACTGCATGACCTCCCCTAGCTACAAAAACGCACAAGAGAGCCTCGTGCCAGCAACCAATAAAGCGCTGTAATGGTCAGAAACCTCATCGATTGACTGATTGACAATGCCTCCAACCCTCCAAAGTGTCAAAGAGCTCCAAACTGAGAACAAAGCAGCACAGGTGTGAATTACTAGATACAATATGATACAACCAATGAAATCATCGAGGCAAGCATTAACAAACAGGGTATCTTCTAGTTACTTGACATCAATTGGAAGTGGCCCAATATATTACAAGGACCGGGCTTGACAAATCCAGTATTGAGCCAAACATAAACCCCAGCGAATGATGTGCCAAGGCACATCATCCTGACGTAGGATATGGAAAATGGATGGGGTTTGGTGCGGGTGTCCGGAGAGTTTCGGGCACGAGCCAAACGGCAACTGAAAACCAGCAGTGAATACACCAAATAAGGGAAACAACAATGATGAATCAATCATTGTTTGCTTAGGATTAAAAAAAAACGCGAGCATATTACAACTGGTTTTCTTCCTGTAATTCAAGTCAGGGTCAGGTAGCTGATGGTGGAAAAGGCTAAGGCTAAGGGCGAATGGCATCTGCTGATCACCGGAAAATAATACTGACTAGACAGTTGAGGACAGCTGCTTTGAGTATCTTTGAGTACCTGTTGTGCACGTAACAATCGTTCGGGGTTTGGACAGTCACAAGACTCAATCAGCAACATATAAATGCTACTCCTTCAGCCACGCCAATTGTTCATTGCTCATTGCACCGTTGAGAGGAACCCATCGGCGTGCCTGGTATCGACATATTCAATGCCCGGCCATACTGTCACCAACCACAAGCAAACCATTCACAAAAGCGTAAGATCAAAAGTCAACCAAAAACTGTGGCAACGTATTGTAATCCTTTGTGATTCTGTTCTACAAACTGTTATGTATATAAGTTGTTTCAACCTTTCCACTGAACATGCTGAGATTCGCGTAAGCTCCATGCAGGGCCAGCAGGAATTCCTCGGGCAAAGTCCTGTGATCACATCTTTCCAAAGGGCCGGCTGCAAAAACATGGAATGCAAGACCGAAGTGCTTTGTCAAAACCAGGGGCCCAGAACAAATGAAATGAATGGAGTGTGTCATGGCCCAGCAGTTTGACAGTTTGCTGCATGAACAACACGGCTGCTGTGCTTGGTCTATCTTGTGCTTTGGTCCCGCCTCTTTGGTAATGTTATTGGGATTGTTGGCCTCCATTGCCGAACATGTTATTCAAACAGCGCAAACTAGCTACAAAAACCCTGCAAAACGTGAAAGATTCTGCAAGTCAGCCTGCATGATTGGTCAGCCTGTTGGCAACGGTGAACCCTTGACCCATCCAACAAATCCCAACCTGACACCATTCCACGGCACTTGGCTCCAACGGAACCTGCTTGTGTTTGCGGTTGTGGGTGGCGCGGTGGAGTTGAACAAGCTAAAGCAAAGGCCAGGTGTCATCAAACAGGCTGCCAGGTGTGTGCATGATATTCTTGTACTTTGAGAGAGTTGGGAACAGAGTTGGCCACAGCTCTGTGATGCCTTTGCATACAGTGCCCATCTTCCTGAAGCTGTTTTTTGCCACAGATAACATCCGTGTGCAATAAACAAAGTACAACTCGTATTCTGCTCCTAAACTGTTTGTAGGTCGGATCCAGGTTCGAAGTTGCTGGCACTGAGCAGTTGATGTTTAGTTTCCTGTTGGAATGACAAGTGTCGTATAGTCTGGTGGATTTTGCTGCAAGCTCTGAGAAACACCTCCATATATATATATATATGGTGGTTGGTCAATATTCTTTCATCCTGGAATGGCCATTCATCGCGGAAAAAAGGATATCTTTCGCGGATCTTTCGCGGCCTCATCGCGAAGCATGGTCCTACAACCATGTCTATAGCTAACATGAGCCGGAACACTTCATAGTATCACAAAATAGGGAGAGACATCTTGCAGCATGACCCCAGTAGATGGTTGAATGTTTCCACAGTTACTCAGGGTCACTTGCAGCATCTGTACGACAATTGTGCCAAATAGAGTCAGGCACAACTCAACCCAAGCCTCGTGCCAGCTACCGAACCTAGACTTTAGCGGCACATTCGCGAAGCTTTCGCGGATCTTTCGCGAAATTTCACGGGTGCTTTCCCCGGGAAGCCGTAACATTTGCAAACATCTGCACAGCCCGTCAGAGAAGCTGCAGGTCGTTGCCTCACTATCAGGGCTGTGCCTACCCAGATTACTAGTCTGTGACTGTGGGGACAGGAATCGGAGAATCCTTTACGCACTGCCAGGGCTGGGCACGGAAATGTTGAGGCTTCAGTTCGTTAGTCTGTGACATATGGCAACACTTCCGCCCACTGGCTCTGCCGGAGGATTGCCTTGCGTTTCTATTCTTTGTCAGTCCGGTAGAAAGGAACACAATGAAAGCGATGACCTTCGATAAATCTTTCGCGGAAAAAGAATACTTTCGCGAACCTCATCGTGAGTCTTTCGCGGATGGTTCTAACAACATCTGAAAGGCTGTTGTATATAAAACTCCTTATACGGGGTTTTCGATCAACTCCCATATATTATACCCCTCCTCAACAATTAAAGCTTCAGTTTGCCTCATCGATGCCCGGGCGACCACCACCATGGCTCATGATGCCTCAGTTTCCCATCTGGTCACCCATTCAAATGTGAGGTTCGCTGTTGATGCTCGGCTCACCATGCATGCAAACGGGACACCTGGATCACTTTAAAATTCAAGTGAGTGTAAAGATCTGACCTTGGGCGGAGCTAAGCCTCTGTCTGATCTCATACGGATCCAGCCTCATAGAACAATTGAGTCAACAGTCTTTGGCCTTCACAGTTCATTCAATCGTGAACTTGCAAGCCTGCACCACTCTTAGATCCGATGAGAATTGCATTAAGTATGATTCTGAAGGTGAGGTGAGGCAATGGACTTGGCTGAGAATTGCGCACGCACACTCTCCAGCCATCTGCGGGGCAAAAGCCTGGGTCGCGGAACTCTCTTTCAAGGAGCAAAATATACACTTGTGACCTTCAATTGGCACGAAACTGTTTCAGACTGGCTGAAAAGGCGTCAAACCAACGATGTTCCAAAGCCCACACTGTAGTAAGAGCTTGTCCGGCTAGGTGCCTGGCAACTTAAGTTCAAGATATTCATGAAGCTTTGGCTTGGGAGTCTTAGCAAGAATACCGCACGGTAGTTTTGTCCCCTTGAAAAGGTTGGGTGGATTCTGCCCTGCACCTCGGCCTGAAGTCCTTCAGGTGCTGATGTCCTGAAGTGCTCAAAATGGGCAGTAAACGTAGTGATTCGTAGTGATCCATGGATTTAGGACATTGAGAGGTTTAGCAACATGACCTTGTCAAACATGTTTGCCATGCAGTGCATCAATGGATGCTTTGTGACAGCATGTGAAGGCAGGCGTACTTGCCTCTACACCTGATTTGTTGAACAGCAAGTACTACTGACAACAGCTTTCTTGCTCTATGGGATATTGATGTCACCGGGCTTTTGCAAATCTTGAAATGGTTGCGAAATTTTCCAGGAGGCTATTGTGATTGAATGCGCTGGGAATTAGGTTCTGCTATTGATTGAACAAAGGTTTCTTCGACACGACCCCCCAGCTTGCCATTTAAGGCATTGAATGTGTCTTCCAGAGTGGACAGCTGCCGTGGCAGCTGCCGTGTCTCGAGAGGTGGTGAGAGTCTGAGCACTCATCGTAAGTGTCAGAGACCTTCTGTGGTATGCTTCATGGCAAATGGTATGCCGATGTTGTTTGAACACAATATGGTCTGGTTTTTGCTGTATGAAGTACTTGCCCTTGCCACACTCTGTCAAACCCATACCACTACTAGTTAAGAAGCCAACGCATCAGGTGACCTCTACTCGACATGTCTGAGGAAGATCACATCTTGTCCTGAAAGCAAGGTCAAGACCAGGAATTGGAATTCCATCTTCCATCTCCTTTCACACAGGCGAACTCGCTTGCCAGAGGAGAGGCGCATTGGTGGAGATTCCATGCACACTTAAAGGCTAAATCTCACATATCTATACAGATAAGAATCTTAGAAAAGGCTCTTGATTTATGACCAACATATCAAGCACACCCATGCCCCCTGACATCAAAATGATTTCAGCTCAAGGCTGTCTCACAGTGACTCACATGCAAACCAAGTTCCCCTCACTTGATAGGACGCGAACGCTTATATTTTTGGAGAGTACATAATGGTGTGGTCTGAAGACAAACTTGGGCCTAAAGTGACTAGATAAAACCCTGAGGGCAACTGGTTGGTCCCTTGGGTAGCATTGGTTGCAGTTCAAGAGAAGCAACGGCCCTTTGTTCGTTGTGCACCATTGGAGCCCGCCTGCGGAGAGACATTTCAAACAATTGCCCAAATCATCTTGCAGCTGCCCATTCTTCTGCCAGTGCTATGCTACTTCGCAAAGCACACAGGTGCTGCGTTCAATCCTCCGGTTGCAACCAGTGCAACTTTTGTTGCCGGTTGCCCTTCTGGGCTTAATGAACACAAACTAACACGCAGCCTTGGAAAGACAGGCGGTTTGAACAGCAAATCCTTTTGTGGCTCCACCGGCCAGTACGTTTGCAGCTGCAAAGATTGGAGTATAAGACACTTTGGTCCGCATGAACTCAGCAGGCAAGAGCATGTCAATTGCGACCTCTCGAATTACAACTGGAACACCCTTTTTCTCAGGAGACCGTACCACCATCATTCGGATTCATCTCAAGGCAAACAAGCTGCAAAACAAAGTTATCTTGGGTGTGATTGTAACCACGTGACTATCAACTTGTATTCTTTAATTCAATAAGCATCAGCTAGCAGTAACAAACAAACAAACAAACACACAAACACACACACACACACACGTAAACTTGACCACTGTCACTTTGAGACAGGATCTTAAATCCTGAAATGGCAAAGCAGAAACTGGAACTATCCACCCTGGGACTCTCACACCTGAACTCTCACACACTCAGAGAGTACAAAATGGTGTGACTGTTTCATGTCTTCTCCCTCAGAATGCACCACGATAGATCAAAGAGAGAATAGGATACCAAGAAGAGCACTTGAAAATGCGACTGTAGAAGAGGATCCAGCTGCTTCGTCAGGTGATCGTTGCACGACCTGCTGCTTGTTCAAGACCAAAAAGAGTTCTGGCTTGAAGGACATCGTCTTGTTGAATTGTTCCATGTACTCAGCCTGCATGCATCGCATCGGGCAATGAAGAAACACAACGACTCCAACAACCTGGCACATTGACAAACCGTGCCTGCGCCGCAGTAACAGGAGGGCAAGTAGACCCAGACAAAGGATCTGTGTTGATGCCTGGACCAGAAATCTCAAGGATGGTCACGTTGAATGGAGGCGTCCAGTGTGCCTTGTTGCAGCTGCGGTTGGTTCATGTTTTAAGATGCTTGGGTTAATGAAGCTGCTGATCTAAGCTCACGGCTGGCACAAAGCCCGTCGATGAGAGATCATCCCGCGTATAGCCTCCAAAGCACGAAATCCATCTCCTCTCTCGGGAGTGGCTATTAATTATACATCTTAAAATACATGAAAAGGCTGAGTGCCTGCGTATTGTATCCTACTACCCCCTGTTCATGAACAAAATCAAAACCCAAGCAAACCCACAGCCTCGTCAACATGTCTGCTGTGAAATTTTGTTGTGAAAAGGCATGTTCATATACCCTGCAACAAACTGCCTGCTTCTTAACCAAACAGGTTCCGGAGCTCGTGAAATGCAGTGCAGCGTCCAACTTTGATGGAGTCACTCCCTTTTTGGCCGTCAATGAAATATGTTTGTGTACTTTGAACTTGTACCTAATAAAGGTTGAACAAGCACAACATTGAAAGAGAATCGGATCTATAGGCCTTTTTTTTCCATTGCTAGTGACCGCACAACTTCCCCAAGCCCCACTACATAGTCACCCGTCAAGATTACCTACGACGATCTTCTAGTCTAGTCTATCTTGTGGGTTTTTGAGGTGGATATATAAACATATGGCAAAACACACGCGCACACGCACACATACACACACTGTGCTCCTATCAGGCTCGAAAATTACGTAAGTGTTGCAACAAATGCTCCAAGGTACTTTGACTCGTGGTATACTTGCATCCCAGCGCGGAATTGCATGAATTTGCTTTCGTGCAATCAGCATAACCTTGAAGCTGTCATGCGGCAAACACAAAAAGCACCGTGGCTTCTGTCAGATTCTGGATTGTTGGGATTGCTTGGCATCAACAGAGACAACTAGTAGTTTCTTGGAGTTTGGTCGTAGGTAACCAAAAACAAACCCACCTTCAACAATTCAACCTCTCCGTTGTGGTGCACCCATCAACAAACCCAAGCGATGCGTTGACATTCAGTTGCCTGTCAAATTTGCTCAACTGGTTCTGGCTAAGTTCTCCCTAAAGACTCTAATTCTTAGGCCCACATCAGCCAAGCTAGTGAAGTGCATCGGACATCCTCTGACACAGTTGAACACATACATAGCTGACTCTTTTCGTTGATTTGCTTCCTGACTCGCACCGAGCACGGCGCAAGAAAACATTTTGTCTTGCCAAATTGGAACTGCTGCAGCTTAGGGCCACACCATAGTAGTAATAGCAATTTCCGCACTCCATGAAGGCTCCGTGGTTGGCACCTTCCGCCAAGACGATGCAATAGATGGCATCTTCCCATCCAGTCGTGCGGCGTCGTCGATGCATGGAATCACCATAGATGCTGTTGTACGCGTACATGGAGCCTGCACCTGAGGAGATTGATATGATGATGGTACCACGCAGCCACAGTGCCATACAGCTAGGATATACTTCACCCAATGCATTTAATTGACTTTGAATTAGATGGACTTTGCACGCCTTTCAGAGTCCTTCCGCACTGAAAGAGGAGCACTAGCTAGCTTTGAGCACGACACATAATTGCAACTTTACAAGGCGCCAACAAATGCACCAGAGGCGAAGCTTCCCGTGGAGGATCCGCCATTGTACATTGAAACAGTGGCACGATAGTTTGGAGGAATAGAGTTGTAGCTGGTGTAGCCATAGTCTCAGCAGGTGCAAAAGAATCACAGCTATTCCACAGGCAAACAATCAAAAAGCAACGTGAAAATCAGAAAGAACAAAAAGCCGAAAAAGAGCTGAGGCTCTTGTGGAGTATGGCAAATATCCGTTGTGTGTATGCATTAAATCATTTCTTCCTGTATAGCCATAGGCCACCTCGGGGGTGGTCCGCCTCCTTCGTAGGTCAGTGTTGCTTGTTTGGACACGCCGCCGTGGAGAGGTCACGGAGCTCCGGCGCCGGGCCGCGCTGGAATAAACGGCCGCCACACTCGTGGCGCGGCGCCGCGGCGCCAGTTGGACCTGAGACCTGCGGCGAGGGTAACTTGGCTGTGAAAAGGAGCGTCGCCGGGCGCTGGTGGGAGGAGCTGGAGGTGAACGCCTCAGGGGCCAAGACTGACAGTGACATGTATATATTTGAATATACTTGAAAAGTCTAAGACCCCAAGATTTTTGTTGAATGTTTGAAGGATCTGAGGGAAGTTCACGAGATGCGATTCGATAAATCTTTCACTGGAGCACCTCCTTGAGGACCAAGAGGATGACGAAGAAGACGAGGAACTGTATCTCCGAGATCTAGAGCTGAAACCGCCACTTCGCCGGCGTCCGGAAAGACGCCGAGCAGCAGCGTCACATGTATCCTGGTTAAATAAGAAACACATGACCTCCATCCCACTAGCAATGGCTTGCGATGGCCTCCAACCTAAGAGCGATGGCCTCCACCTCAAACCTAATAGCGTTTCCAAGCAGCTGCTGAAGAAAGTGCTTATATGAAAGCATGAGCAAACAAAAGGATACCACTCGAGGCTTACAGCTTGTGCAGTGGCTGCAGTACGGCCTTGAAATGAGCTTATCCCAAAAACCTATGACTAAAGCCTATGACTTATGTCCTTTTCTTACGCCTATATAGCTTATGCAGCAAGTAAAACAAAAACCATTCCGCCAAGCTTACGCTAGCATAAATGTAATGTGTGTCAAACATCTCCCGTTACGCAGCAGGCACTTCATCCGTCATTACTTGCATTGTGTGGATGCGGGAGTTAGACCTTACGAATGATCAACATACACCTTACTCACACCACGGGCTTGCTTACGCAAAGCCTTTATAATAATATGACATAGACTCTTCTAGCCATATTGCAGTAAGGGAGGTTTGCTCAATGCTCAAATGCCTTGCAATACCAATTCTGACATCTACCATCATCAGCTGCCCTTCGGTGCGTTGCAGAATGCACAAACTGTCCGCTCAGTCTCTGCTCCGAGCGGCGTCGGCTTCATTATACTCCAACGGAGGATCATCACCTTTGTCAAACAACTTTCACGACGTGAGGCACAAAGCAAAGGCCTCGCTATTAGGAGCAAGGACGATACTAGGAGCAAAGGGCATCGCTACTAGGAGCAAGAAGCCACTAATAACATCTAATAACAAGGACGCTATTAGGTTGGAGGCCATTGCTATTTGGTTGGAGGCCATTGCTATTTGGTTGGAGGCCATTGCTCTTCGGTTGGAGGCCATTGCTCTTGGGTTGGAGGCCATCGCCACCGTCGCTATTAGACACTCCCCTTAGGACTCTACACATTCATCAGACTTCAGCAATTTCAACATTTAGGTATGTTAGGAAGCGGATACACTGTGTCATTGCCCAGCCGTTGATAGTCCCTTCTTCGCAAGACTTTGGCTGACATGATTGCAGGGGCAAACTCTTTCATTTTCCAACGCAAGGATTCTCTTTTTGACTATCACACTGCAAACACGATGTAGTCCCAGGTCAGGTCCTTTTCTGCGAACCTATGCCTGTATGTGCAATTTGTTCGCATTGAGTCACAGAGTTCAACCGTCCCCTTGTAAGATGCTATGTCTATGCGCTGGCAAAATATGCCAAAGGAATTGGAGAAAGAGGCTAAAGCAGCAGGATGCTATTAATTCTGCAGTGCGGTGTAGCAAAGCACATTATAAAATCGAACAGTGGTGAAGGTTACAAACAGATGTAATGCTGATGTTGGTCTTGCATTTTTGCTGGTTTAGAGCCTTTGACAACAATGTGTATTGCTTTGTTTGGAGAAGTCCATGCGACCCCAAGGTCCTAGAACAAACAAAACTGTCCATATACTAGGAGCAAAAAGCAATTAGGAACAAGAAGCTACTAGGGGCTCCTGGCCGTACTACTAGGAGCAAGAAGCTATTAGGAACGTCTACGAATGTCTTGCTTAGTACCCATCTACACCTGTATATCGTCCCCAGGATCCTGCTGCTACTCAAATGCTAAAGCAAGCCACATGTCTCATAGCTGAAGTAAATTCCCAAATGATCCAGCCAGGACTTCTTGGCAATGGGGCACGATTCGTTCACGTAGCACCAGGAATCACAGCACCATTCCTTGACACTTGGTGAAGCACTTCTTATAAACTAGCATAATTAGACATCATCAAGTTTGTGCAAATTGAATGCAATCGCCCAATGGAGAAACATCTGTGCCAAGGGTCATGATCGGCCGACGCATTCCAACCACTGTCAGCATCACTTCCCCAAACCGCCTTGCATTCAACGGCATCCCAGGCGCTGCAGGAGCTGCCGTAAGTGTCTGCAAAGTTCGTGCCACTGAAGGTGCCGGAGGGTAACCTAAAGCCCAAACAGGGACGTGCATTTGACACATTATGGGAGACTCTACAACAAATACTGCGTGTAGATGGTTTGTCATACATGTTCTTTCAACAAGGGGATCAATATAGACGGGGGTCTCCCTGTTCAAAAACACAATCAAATGTCCTAGCTGGATGTGGACGTCTCGGATTCTCCCCTAGGTTGAACAATATTGAGCGCTGCCCGTATTGGTTTCAGGCTTCTGAGGAACTGTCCACGGCATTCGCACGCCGAACTGTATGGACAGGAAGAAATTGCCTCTGCGTTATTCTGACAGTGTTGATCAGTCCAGAAATATCCAAGAAAGAGGGTGGACGAGTAGGCTGCTGGGCAGGATTCATTCACCCAACACCATGACTCGCAGCACCACATATCATGTGTAGCACCTGGAAATGTTGTTCGACAACTGTCAAAGTCATGTGGAGCACATTCCTGACCGTAGTTGGGGACTTCCTCGAGGTCATAGAAGGCTAGCCAGTAGCTTGGAACGGTGGTATTCAAGCAATCGCACCTTGTGTCAGCCGAGACATTGGGCTCCGGCTTGTAAGGACACTGAAACCTTGGCACTCAACATGGACATTCTATACTGTATTTATAGAGCATGTGCAGCAAAAGTCCACTTAAAGCAAGATGGGAACTGTACAAAGTACAGGTCCCTGCCGTGGCAGTTGCCAAAGGCCAAAGGATGACTATCAAACACACTATGATCTAGAGTAATCCCGAGTACCTATTAATAAACACTCCCCAATTAAAAAACCCCACGTCCGAACCCCTAAATTCGGTTTATATTTGGTTTTAAATTGCCGCCCTTTCAAACCGCTACTAAACTACCAACATGGTCGATTTTGGGGGTAGTTTTTTTTATTAGGTTCCCCAAAACTCCACCATGACACGCCGCGCTTACACCAGCAGGCTTTCCTTCCCTCAATGGCACGGACTCACGCAAACGCACTTGCCACCGAGGTCATGCAACACCGCATGGCACAGCGACATCACCTTTCGAAAGCTTTAGCTGTTAGTCTACTGAAGAATCACTATTCTAATGAAGGTCTTTGTAGGGGAAAAGGAAGACCCTTCGATCTGGCGGTTTTTTGCATTTTTGATACGAGTTTAATAAAGGATTTTATATAAAATTTTCCTGGATTACTTTTTGGTTTTGAAACTCTTTCCAGGTGACCCTATTTTGAACCCCCCGATTTCAGGGACCCCCTATTAAAAAAAATGCGACCGAGGTTTTTTTATTAGGGGGGGGGGGGCCGTGTTTATTATTAGGGGGACGGGATTACAGCGCGTACGGTACCTTTCCTAAGTATTGAGAACAAAGGGCAACTCACGAATGCGTCTTGGCAACATAAGAATATTGTCGTCCGGGCATTGCACATCTGACCAAAACAAAAGGCCTTCAACACCATCGTTCCACGAGGGAATTGCACTGGAGCATGCTTTGTCCACATAGCACCAATTAGCACAGCACGCAGTACTGAGCTGATCAGGCCGATAGTTGGTTGCACAATCATTCATGTCCCACGCTTTGCAACTCACACCATAGTCAATGGGGAATCTTGCCTGCATCTCGGGAGTGAAAACGCTCGACATGTCTCTACCTCAGCAACATGATGAATCAAACCAATGGCCGGACTAGGGAAACAAAACAGTGAGAGCTCAAATGAAAAGGACTTTAAATCTTGAAGAGCAGCATGCACACGGATCGTTCTCCTTCTCGATTTCAACCCATTTGCAAGTGCTTGAGGTTGTCGTTGTAGTGGTTACGCTTGGGTACATGAGATCCTAAAAAGCGATTAAAAACAAAGTAAGGAAGACTTGAAAAAAACATGGATGACGTGCCTTCTGGGAGACACAGACAGTTGTGCTGTGCAGCCCCTGTATTGCCCCTCTAAAGCCAGCTGGTGGCAGAGCCCTACAATGTAGAACGACACCACCCAGAAACAGAACACACTAAGTAGGGAGGCCCTAGGAAGTACGAGGAAGTGTGTGTGTGTGTGTCACACTCTGTCCCACAGAGTTTCTCAGTATGTGCAGGGGGGCCAGGCCTGTCACATCCGACCTGGCCCAACGAAGCTGGGATGTGACAGGGGAAGCACCAAGGGACGCCTTGGTGTGTACCTGCAAAACAACTGTTGTTCACGCTGTCTACTTTCTTGGTTTGCTTCCATGGTCGTTCTCATGATAGATCCCAAAACAGGTTTGCAACGCGCTACGTATTCAGTAACTAACGTGCGCAGTCATACAAACTTTTGTCAAACACCTTCAATTCCACTGACCCAGCCGCCTTGCCGTTTGCGCCCATTTTTCGCTCGCTACGTATTCAGTTATAACTAGAGTCCGCAGTCATGCAGCAAACATTTTTTCAAACATCTTCAAGTGCTTGGACTATTCACCTTTCCGTTGAGCCATTCCTTTACTCGTGGGAACTGAGTTAACTGAAAACCAATTGTCAAAGTGTGACTGCCCCCACGAAAAAGGATGAAGTAGGGGCGAGTGTCTGAGAGGCCTGTTGGGAGCAAATGGGTGAAGCCACTTGGTTCTATAGAAAGGAAGTTGCACTTTTGGGAGGCTGACAACAGTATCAAAAGTTAAACGTATCAAGATATGTATGTGTATTACGTGTATTATATATATATATATATGATGGCTCAATACTTGGTGAGACTCTATATTCCCCTGCTTTATCAGGGCAATAAAGATATAGATTCTGGATCTTGTCAATAGTAATAGAGGGCAGCTAGAATAATGCGTTGATATTGCCAGTAGGGGTCGAATTGACACCGCAACTAGACTGAGGTGGCCGGCGCCTTATCATCGATTAGGTGGAAAATGATGCTGATGCAGTTCGGGGGTTCTGAAAACTAGGGCTCTGCCCCGAGCAACATGTTGAAGGCCAAATTCATATTTAACATTGATGTCAATTTTCAACATGTTAAACCAACCGAGACAGGTCAAGTATCGAACTGCAAAAAAAACAAGGGCCGTAAATCGAGACCGAACTGAACTGATGCCCAGAAAACAGAAAACCAACCGACGCCAAGTAAACCGAAACCAACACCACACCCAAGCTGCCAATATGTACACAGGAAGAGGGAGTTTGTCAAGAGAGTGCAGCGAACTGTTGGTCAAATGCACTTGAAAAGTAATGTACCTAGCGAGAAAGGTAAGTATAAACCTAGCCTAGAACAGGTTTCAACATACTCCGATCAATGTAAACAGAAATCACTACCTTCTAGCGCCTGGGGTGGACACCCAGGTTCTCCTCATGCTCAACATTTGTGCCCTCACAGGTTGAACGGCGGTGGCACGATCGCACCGTGCTCGCACCACGGGGCAAAAACACTGTACAGTATAAGCACGGTTTATAAACACATTTAAATTGTCAAACATGGTATTAAAAATCGACGCCAGAAGGAGGAACTCCTTTCTCATGTGTTGCGAGTGTTTTTTTAATACGATGTTGCAACCATGATTCTGGTGTCACGCCCCGTCACCGCCGTACGTTTTGTCGTTGTTGAGCACTTGTTCCTAGTTTCATGTGGTGTTTGGTATTTGCAATGTTTTTTGATGTTTTTTGATTTCGGTAGCGGCACAACGGGGGAGTATGATATGCTAGCGGGTTGACAACCGTGCTAGTAGTCGTGCACTTTTTAAGCAAACCACGAAGAATTTGTCAGATGTCGCGGCAATAGGCGTGAAAATTTGCAGTTTTGTTTTTTAAATAAATACATAACAACATTTCGTTCTGTTGGATCAGGGCAACCTCCTTTTTCTTCGTACTTTGCCACAGTTCTTTTTTTGCACGTTTGGACCGGAATTCCCTTCATGTTTGCACTCGTCCGCGGTGGTGTGTTGGATATGTTTGGAACATGATGCCACATACACAGAGCTTTGGAAGATGGGTGGGGGTGTGGGGGTAACTGCGTTCGGTTGGATGTGTTTGGAAGATGATACCACATGCACACATGTTTTCAAAGGTCATGCGCACACGCTTTTGGAAAACCTTGTTTCCTCTCTTCAAACTCGTAGAAATATCGAATCGTCGTCCTTGGCCTCAAGTGACCTTTGTCAAAGCTAAAGAAAGCACATGGTTTTCAACAGAACGCGCCCCAAACACACGGTTGTGTGGGGGCATGTTACCATGTTTTTGCCCCTTGGTGTGGGCGTACAACCTATGCGAGCCTTCAGAATTGCTGAAGCCCTTGAGGTCCTACCCACTCTTTTCAAAATACAACTGATTGTCCCTCAGTTTTCCTACTGATACTAGCAACTACTCTTTTTGAGCCCCGCAAAGCATCTACATGCGCGGCCTCAAAGTGGTAATAGGCAATGACAAAACATGCACGGGTCATTGGAGAATGTCTGTTTGTAGTTCTGAAGTATTCTGACACTCTATCTGGCACTGTTCTGACATATTCTGGCATTCGTTCTGGCATACATTCTGCCATTCATACTGGCAATCTATTTGGCATCTCCTCTGGCGTTCTTTCTGGAATTCTAGCTGCTTCAGGTCCGGTGGTGCCCACTGCACTCTTACGCTCGCGGTTAAGGTCTGGTATAGTACATGGTTTTATTATAGAAGAAATTGCTTGTGCCAATCTTCTATTTGAAGGGCTTGGAAATTTGCCGCCGGGAGGGTTTCAAATAGAAGAGGGCCAGGTGGAACAAACAATTCCGGGCACAACTTTGGGCACAACGTTGGTTGACCAAACCCCGAGCCACTTCAAATAGAAGACGCAAAAACTGCAAAGAAGAGGAAGAGAAGGGAAGGGAAAGGAGAAAGGGTGGGGAAGGGGGAAGGCAGGACGGGGAAGGAGGTACAGGAAAGGAAGGTAAAGGTAAAGAGAAGGTAGAAGGAAGGAAAGGTGGGAAGGGAAGGGGAAGGGGAAGGAGGAGGGAAGGCAGAACAGAAGGCAAAAGAGAAGGGAAAATGGAAGGGAAGATCTGAGAAGGAGGAATGAGGTAAAGGGCCAAGGGAAGGAAGGCTAAGGTAAAGAGAAGGTAAATATTGTGCCAACGTTGGTGAAAACCGAGAGAGGCCAAACCCCGAGCCACTTCAAATAGAAGATGCAAAAAGGGCAAAGAAGAAGAAGAGAAGGGAAGGGAAGGGAAAGGAGAAAGGGTGGGGAAAGGGGGAAGGAGGAAG